TCGTGGAGATGTTTATGCTGTGGCGGGAGGCCTGGGTGTGACGGGACGTACTGTAGAGAGGAGCGAGGAGGTCACAGGGAGAGTATGAGCATATGTGTTTGCTCGTACTGTGAAAACAGCTCTCCGGCCTCCATCCTCCTGTTTACTACTTTCTTTCATCACATCTTTCACTCATCCTAAAGCCTTTTGCTCCATTTCACGCTTTCTCCCCTCATTTTCATTGCTCTGTTCCGCTTTTAATTTCCTGCGACTCTCTCCTCCCCCTCCCTCTCTCCAGCCATGACTCAGACTGCACCTTTGGCTGACCACCAACTCCTTAACATGCAGACTGCAGCACTCCTGCTCAAACCCTCCACCCACTTCTGCATCAGAGAAACAAACACACCCAGCTGGAGATTGCTGCCTTATGCTGATCCTGCAAATCATACGTGACCCTGGACCACAAAACCAGTGATAAGGGTCAATTTTTCACAATTGAGATTTATACATCATCTGAAAGCTGAATAAATAAGCTTTCCATTGATGTATGGTTTGTTAGGATAGGATATTTGGCTGAGATACAACTATTTAAAAATCTGGAATCTGAGGGTGCAAAAAAAAAATCGAAATACTGAGAAAATCGCCTTTAAAGTTGTTCAAGTGAAGTTCTCAGCAATGCATATTCCTAATCAAAAATTAAGTTTTGATATATTTACGGTAGGAAATTTACTAAATATCTTCATGGAACATGATCTTTACTTAATATCCTAATGATTTTTGGCATAAAAAAAAATCGATAATTTAGACCCATACAATGTATTGTTGGCTATTGCTACAAATATCCCCCAGCGACTTAAGACTGTTTTTGTGCTGCAGGGTCACATATATTATACAAAATATATATAAATCTATTGTTGAATCAGCGCAAACCTCTTGAGGCCTGATGGTCTTGACACCCCTGCTAAGTATATGTAAATGGATTTTAATTTAGGTTTTAGTAATACAGTTATGTGCTTTTGTTATGTTTTTATTTATTTATTTATTTGACTATTTAGCTTTATTTCAGTTTTAGTTCATTTTAGTCCATCTTCTATTAAGTGTTATTCAGGTTTTTTTTATTTATCTATATTTTATTTGTTTTATTTTAGGGATGCATAATATTGGAGTTTGCCGATATCTGATATGCCGAACTCATTTTGGCCAATAGCCGATACCGATACATATTTCCTTTTGTTTGGAAGCAACACCAAGCCTCTCCTGTGCAGAGATTATACATTTCTTTTACTTGTGGATGGTAGAGCATTGCGTTAGCAGCGCAAAAGGTCGTGGGTTAGATTCCCAGGGAACACACATACTGGTAAAAAATGTATAGCCTGAATGCACTAAGTTGCATTATTAAATTATTAAATTGTTAATTATTATTAATTAATTATTAAATTATTATAATAATTTTTTTAAATCTTATTGTTAGCACACCTTGAGCACGTGTGTTATTAGTCTTATCGGCAGAGCATATCAGCATCATATCGGGCCGATGCCGATATTTGCATTTTAAGCCTTTATCAACCGAATGATGTTCCGATAATATTGTGCATCCCTATTTTTATAGTCTTAACATAAACAACATTGGTCTAACCTCTAATGACTTTTAGAATGGTCTGTCTTTCCCAGAAAGCTTGGTACTAATTTGGTTAAGTGATGTAATATGCTGGTGACGGCATTGCAAGGGTTTGTACTCGCTAGACTCTGTTTACCCATCTATTTACGCAAATAACCTTCAGCCATATTTTGGCCCTAGAAGATGTTTTGTGCTCATGAGAACCATTCCATGGTTATGGTACACTATAATTTCCTTTGTTTACCTTGTTATACCCTCCTTTAGCTCGCCCAGCCTCAACAGCTTAACTGTATTTAAACACAGATGTTCTTCAAACTACAGTTCCCACAAACCATTGTAGTCAGTGGTTTGATAATGAAAAGCTTTAATAACAGCACTCTTCCAGATGGGAGAGGACTTTTTTGGTATGAAAATAGGAGGGTTAGCAATGAAAACAGCTGCTCCAAACAGTCTGCTCGCCATCTGAGACACAAATTGGTCTGCCAATCCCGGCCAATCAGAGATACGGTGGGTTTCGAACATGAACGAGGGTGTTGAAATGCGACCTGCTTCAATCCGACGACGAGCACGATATGAATTTTTGGAAGGAGACTAAACAAAATGAGCACTGGCACTTTATACCGCCCTGGCCGCAATTTGCACAGTATCTTCTTCACTAAGATTAAATGTGGACTGTAAAATGAGTGGAATTTGGAAGGGATTTAAACCTCGATCCTTGGCTTCAAACTTTTCCCACCAGCCACTCAAACAGAATGCTAATCTCCATGCCTCGTGGGTGCCATAGACTTGCTCTTTTATGGTTTCTCAACGGGCAGATAAACAGACACCTAAGCCATTTGGTTTCAAAGGTCCTCTCCAAGACACAGCCTGAGTGGGCTGTAATCGCCTGAGAACACGGCCTGAACGCTTTCCGTGCTCGCCGGCATTATTTAAACCACCTCGTCATTCCATGGGAAAGATCCATTGCCTTAGTAACACATACTCATTATGGAACACAACACCTCATGCATAATGCAGTAAGAAGTACATTAATATTCATGATTAAACCCCCTCCCTTTTCTCTTTGGCATGTCTTGGACACTAGAAATGTGAGTGGAGTAGCTTTTGATCACAAGATGATAAGAAATAGTCTTTGGGCATGTTTTAACACCGATTGTTCAGAGATGACATCCCTGTTGTTCTTCCAGTTCCCTTGAAGAGCCGTTCTGCTTTTAACCGCTTCTTTTACTATCCAATTTGTCATTTTTGCGAGTACAGTAATGGTTTGAAATGACTGTTAATTGGGTTGATTTCCTCTTTTGTTCCATCAACCGCCACATTCGGCGATGGAACAAAGCAAGACGTGTTAAAAGGCTCGAAAGCCCTCAGTGTTATGGAGGTTGGTCACCGCTTCTAAAGATTAATGATGCATTACGGTTGATCATGATCGAGATGGAGACGGAAATAGGAGCAGCTGCATTATGAATTGAAGGCCTTGAGACCTTCTCTTTCACATCTCCTGGGTTTATCACCCCTGCTTTTATCGGTCATGGTTCAGAGGTTATGCCTTCTTTGACACTTGCGACGCTTTCCACTCGCCTCATAACACGACGAAATGACCAAAAGCGCCTTTGATTCAGTGTTTGCCTCTGAAATTAAATTGAATTTGGTTTAATTATATTTAGAGGAAATGGCCCTCAGCCTTATGGATTATTCTAAGGGAAATCTCTCATCATGCTGATCAATATGTAATATATTATATGAAATCAAGAGAGTTTCTTTTTCCATTAACGCTGCTTCCTGCTTAGAATGGACTGTAAAGTTATTTGATGTATGTTGATAAGCAGACGTTATGTCTTGGGTAAAGGTTAAAGTGATGGATCAGAGTGCTTATAATTAGTGCAGGCATTGGGGAATTCATATGCAATCTTTTTCTTGTAGTTTCAAGTTTGTTTTATTTCTACAGCACATTTAAAATCAGCAAGCATGGCTGACCAAAGTGCTGAACAAAACATAAAACAAAAGCACAGGGCAGATCACATATTAATAACACAAGCTCACAACGAATTGAAAGCCAAAGATAAAAAAATAAGTTTTAAGAGATGATTTAAAAGCAGTTATAAGCCAGGAGGTTGTTCAACAGCCTAGGGCCAGTAGTAGCAAAAGCTCTATCCTCTCTATGCTTTAACCGTGATCTGGGGACAGAGAGCTGTCTAGGTTTTCTCAGAGAGAAAAGGTTTAATCTTGGAGAGAAGACGTAACAGAAAAAAAACAAGAGTCAATCACCGCGTTTATTTGTCTGTCGAATTTGAGGCTACAATCCCAAAACACACCTAAATTCTTAACGCAGGATGAAGTAAAGGAAGCAAGGTAGTCCAGTTCAATACTTCTACTCCCAGAGTTTTCATGGGGACCAAAGTCTATAACCTCGGTTTTTGATTCATTCAGAAATAGAAAGTTTTGAGAGAACCAAGTTTTCACTTCATCTAGGCAAGCAAAAAGAGATTTCAGAGCAGTACGTTTATTGCGATCCAGGGGTAGATAAATTTGGGTATGCAGTGAAATGATACACCATGCTCTCTAAAAAATGGAGCCCAAAGGAAGTAAATACAGGGAAAAGAGAACAGGTGCGAGAATTGAACCCTGTGGCACTCCACAAGAAAGTTGAGACGGCGACAAAGAAAAGTTACCCAGTCTGACAGAAAAACTTCTATTAGTTAAAAATGATTTAAACCTATTAAGGAGAGTTCCCTGGATGCCCACATAACATTCTAGTCGGGATAAGACAATATTATGATCAACTGTATCAAAAGCCGAGGTTGCGTCTAAAAGTACTAGGATCACAGAGTTTCCAGAGTCAGTCGCTAACAGTGTATCATTAAAGACCTGTAATAAAGCAGACTCGGTGCTGTGCCGAGACTTAAAGCCAGACAGGAAGGTTTCAAAAAACTGATTTGAGCTAAGAAAAGACTGGCGTTGAATAAGCACGGTTTTTTCCAAGACTTTGGTAATAAAAGTAAGAGTCGAAATAGGCCAAAAATGATTGAAATGACTAACATCAAGTGAAGGTTTCTTGAGAAGAGGAGTAACAGTAGGAGTAACTTAAAGGCTATCTGGGATAGTTCCTGAACTTAAACAATTATTCAGAAAAGACAACAGACTGGCTCCAACCGAATCAAAAATTTGTTTCAAAGTATGTGGAGGGAGAACATCATGGGAGCAAAAAGAATGTTTCAAATGGTCAATCATTTCTGTGAGAGACTGGAGAGAAACTGAGTCAAAAACGCTCCATGTGGCTGAAGAACAATGAGACTCAGGCAATACATTAGCAGGAGGCTGCAGATGAGATCTCAAAAGTACTTTAAATATGTGCCATTGTAGTTCAGTTGATTTACCCTTGTATTTGTTCTCTCTTTTTCGCCAGTGTTTGCGGACGTTAGTTGGCCACACCGGCGGGGTCTGGTCCTCTCAAATGCGAGACAACATCATTATCAGTGGCTCCACAGACCGAACGCTGAAGGTCTGGAATGCAGAGTCGGGAGAATGTATCCACACGCTGTACGGTCATACCTCAACAGTGCGCTGTATGCACTTGCATGAGAAAAGGTAACATCTACCGCCTTCCAACCAAAGGCCATTTTACAGCCAGATGCATATAGATTACACCACTACTAGTAAACAAGCCCTTTACTGCTTTGTTTACATAATATGCATTTGCATAAGATGTTCGTGTGTGTGTGTGTGTGTGTGTGTGAACTTGCACAATTGGTGGCTGACTAAATACTTTTTTGCCCCACTGTATATATAGGCGATTTAAATACATTTAAAATTAAATATATAATTGCATAAGTTAAAATTACATATACATTTTTTTTTATTTAATATCATTTGATATTAATATTAACTTTGATAGTGGTATGAATTGAAATATGTTTGGTTGAAATAAACTGAAAGTGAAACCCTGATGTAGAATCAAATTTGGATAAACAACTACCATGCATGAGTTTACTTACTTTCAAGTATTATATAAATTAATGTAAGGGATTGTGTGCTGGTTAAAGCGCACGGTTCCCATCTGGTTTCAGCTGCACACATTAACTGTGCGGAGTGGATCCTCTGAGTATTCACATACAGTATGCTCTGTTGTGAACCACTCAATTGCTCGCCTGACAATATTCTCAGTGTTTTCCGTGCCTCTGGGTCCATTGCTGTGCATATTTTCCCATTGTGCCGTGCATGATTGCTTATTTTGTGCAGTGACCTCAGGCTTCATTGAGCAACAACAATAGTGGTTTCTGTTTGTTGCTCTTTGCATCACCAGCACCCATTTTAATGTTCATTTTGCTCATTTAAAAAATATATTTATCCAACCCGTGTCCTAAGGGTCTGGTTTTTTAAGCAAATACAGTTTTCCCTTTGATTTATGTAATGCTATAAGCAAACACAACCCTTGAAGGTGCAAGAAATCGGCTGTCATAGACTTCTGAGTTAATGCCTGATTGCATTCTTCCATTATAAGTTGAGAAAGAAATCATTTAAACCGTTATAAGAAACTTTGAATGCATGCATGCTACTTTAAGATGTTGAGAAGTAAAGCCATTTGTTTTCCTCTCTCAGGGTGGTGAGCGGTTCCCGGGACGCTACGCTGCGGGTTTGGGACATTGAGACGGGTCAGTGTTTGCACGTGCTCATGGGTCACGTGGCGGCCGTTCGCTGCGTACAGTATGACGGCCGTAGGGTGGTCAGCGGGGCCTATGACTTCATGGTGAAAGTGTGGGATCCTGAAACCGAGACCTGCCTGCACACACTCCAGGGACACACCAACAGAGTCTACTCCCTACAGGTAAACAGACACACATGCCCTGTCGCTCAGAGGGCAGATTAATTAGAGTCTTTTAAAGCAAGAGAAAGAATCAACCCACTTTAGCCTTCTTTGCTCAAAGAACAATGAAATGTCTCTGTGGGTCACTGCTCCGTTAATTCTTGATCAGTAAGGCAAGAGATGTCTAAAGCATTGCTTTAAAGGAGCATGGATTAAGAAGCGCTATCATTCTGTCTATTCTTTTGAAAAGCTTTCATGACCCGTGCTACTAAGTTTACATGAGCCACATACCTTCAGTGACTCAGAATGATCCGAGTGCTATTAGATCTAATACTACTAGGATCTGCAAAAATGTTCATTTTTTATGTGTAATTGCCCAATTTAAAGTTTTTATTTTTTTTTCATAATCAGTAACATTACTCTCATTCAAAAGTGCATTTAAAATGCTATTCATAAATACAATGCCTTGAAAATGCTTATTATATGGTGCTATTTTTAATTGGGCGACATGAATTTCTTAAATTTCACGGTCAAGATGATTTGTTTAAATATTATAAATGTTTGAAAAACTTTTGTCTTCCAAAGTAATGTGCGACAACCAACATGCAGAAATATTGAAAATAAAAATATTGGATAATTTGACACGGTAAGAGTAGTTCAGATTGTAAAATGTCATGTGCTACAACCCACCACAAAACTTTAGGAATAAAAAATAAAAACAATAGGGGAAAAATTAAACACATAATTGTCCTTTTTTTTTTTTCATGAAAACTGTTCCAGTAAAACTGATTAAAATACGTGTACTGAAGGTGTAAGGAAAGTGCTATTGTCATTTCTTTTCATTAATTTTGTCATCAGTGAGTCAAAGTTTAACTATTGTTGAAAGTGGTTCAAAACCATATGAAACCAACATGAGTGCAAGATTTACTTGGTCAAAGCATTTAAACAAGATTTTTGTTATTTTTTGGACAATCGACTTGTCATTGACCCAGCAACTGTGGGACAAAGCATTTAGTCTGTAGTCCGTACTAATCCGCACGAGTCCTGATTTGTTCATATATCCATAATTTTAAGAGCTTTGCTGTAACTACATTAGAAGAATTTAATCGAACATAGTGGCGTTTAATACAATAACAATAGAACGGAGAATATCTGGAGTTCAGCTTGTGCTGCATCTCATTGTGAAATGAATCAAATCCCTGCGGTACACAGTGCAGCTTTTATTGAATTGTTCTTGGCTTTTATTCTAGACTCTGGGTGTTTAGCCACAGTTATTTTCTTATATAACATGTCATTTATTAACTACTGAACACTGATTCATTGGATCCGCTCCTCCTACAGTTTGACGGCATCCACGTGGTGAGCGGTTCGTTGGACACGTCGATCCGGGTGTGGGATGTAGAGACTGGAAACTGTATTCACACGCTCACAGGTCATCAGTCTCTCACCAGCGGCATGGAGCTCAAAGATAATATCCTGGTCTCCGGAAACGCAGACTCCACCGTCAAGATCTGGGACATCAAGACCGGCCAGTGCCTACAGACACTGCAAGGTGAGCAGAGTATAACTAGTTATAAAGTGGATCAGAGATTTAAAATCACCATGAAATCAAATTTTGACACTTTTTTTATGGAATGATTTATCCATGAACATAATTTTTAATGAATTCCCCCTTGTAGTCCCTGTACACTTGGCTTATAGTACGTTGTTTGGACAATGCTGATATTTTTTGTCCTTTTGTGGAGCCTGAAAACTGAACTGTTGATGTATGAAAAGATTATTAAAATTGATGCAGCACTAAAAAAATAACTGCAGAGAAATTTAGAATATTTGACATTTTTGGGCACGTGCAGTTCTTTTAAGAGCTTCACACTGCAAAAAAAAAAGATTTTCTTACTTAGTATTTTTGACGACTTTTCCAGTACAAATAGAAGAATTAAGATACATTTACCTCAGCAAAATGACTTCAGATAAGAAAAACGTCAAAATTAAGTGTTTTTTTGTCTTTAAATAAAAAATATCTGCCAATGGTGCATAAAAAATAATCTTGTTTGCCCTTTGAATTAAGATTATTTTTTCCCCCATTGGCAGATATTTTTCTTGTTTTAAGCTAAAACTAACAAAACTGATAATTTTTCAGAAAACAGGAATATCTTAGATCACTTTGCTTCTCAAGTAAACATATCTTGATTTGTTTAGATATTTGCACTGCAAAACAAGACAAAAATAATACGAAAATCATTTGTGGAGTGCAGCTCATGAATCAATAATCATCTTATTTAATTTGATAAAATTGTACTCATATTTTAAGTCTTAAATGAATATCTTATCTGCTTCACACACTTTAAAACAATAGAATATCCATTTTAGACACAAACATCATTTTTACTCTCAGTCTTGAGGCGAAAGATCACATTTTTTACCACATTTTTTACCTTTGTGTTTCCAAAGATGTATTTTTCATGATTCCCAGCCTCTCTCAGCATCTTGAGCCTTAATCTTCTGGAAGGGTGAGGGATGGGTGATGTGATGAAAGGAATTGGAGGGGGTTGGTTGGTCTCGTTTGGGGTGCCCAGAGGGTACTAAAGAACCATATATCAGTTTGTAGGTCATTTAATTAGGTCGCTGAGCATTTCCTGTTATCACCTAATGACTCTCGTTTGCCGTAATCCACAAAAACACACATTTGACCCCAGCTCGGCGGCGGAGCTTTGAAGTGCCAATGCTCAAACACACAGAGTCACTCATTAAAGAAAAGGGACTATTGTGGCACTCTGTGTAGCGTCTTGCACATCAATAGAGAGCGGCCATCTCATTTACATTCACACAGTTGACTTTAGCGCTCTGCTAATGGGTGTTCATGAAAGAATTCGTGCCTTTGAAATGGATATTTTTAGTTTGCATTCACTCGTGTCTATGTTCTCAGGTCTAGATGTTTGATATCATGATTAATTTTGCGTATCTGCCCGTGATGGTGCTGTAATGGCAGTCTAAGCACTTTTGTATAGACTCGCATGTTTCTTGGCCTATCAGAAAGACTGGCTCGACTCAATACCTCAAGGACACAGAATCAAAGCCATTTATGCCACAGTATTTCCTGTAACCATAGTTACACGCTGCAGTTTGATTTCATGTCTATTGGTGATTTCAGCAATGCAGTTTGTGATGAGATGCTCTATTTGGAATCCCTTGTTAAGAAGTACACTTTAGCATGCACTTTAAGGTCCAGTTCTCACTATTAACTAACTATTTTAACCCAATAAACTGCTAATTAGCTGCTTATTAATAATTAGTAAGGTAGTTGTTAAGTTTAGTTATGGGGTCGGATTAATATGTGACCCTGCAGCACAAAAGCAGTGTTAAGTCGCTGGGGGATATTTGTAGCAATAGCCAACAATACATTGTATGGGTCAAAATTATACATTTCTCTTTTATGCCAAAAATCATTAGGATATTAAGTAAAGATCATGTTCCATGAATATATTTTGTAAGTTTCCTACCATAAATATATCAAAACTTAATGTTTGATTAGTAATATGCATTGCTAAGAACTTCATTTGGACAACTTTAAAGATGATTTTCTCAATATTTAGATTTTTTTTGCACTCTCAGATTCCAGATTTTCAAATAGTTGTATCTCAGCCAAATATTGTCCTATCCTAACAAACCATATATCAATGGAAAGCTATTTATTCAGCTTTCAGATGATGTATAACTCTCAATTTAAAAAAAAAGACCCTTATGACTGGTTTTGTGCTCCAGGGTCACATATGTTCATGCAGAATAAGGCATTAAGATGTGCTTTATAAGTACTAATAAACAGCCAATATACTTGCTAATAAGCAACTAGTTAATAGTGAGAATTGCTCCCTAAACTAAAGTGTTACCAAATACATTACAAGCATATATTCAATACAGTTAAGTGCACTTCTTATTTTACAAGTGATGTGAGTGTCTGATTTCTGTTTCTTTCCTTCATTTGCTCTCAGGTCCCCACAAGCACCAGAGTGCAGTGACATGCCTGCAGTTCAACAAGAACTTTGTCATCACCAGCTCTGATGACGGTACGGTGAAGTTGTGGGACCTTCGGACGGGCGAGTTCATCCGTAACCTGGTCACACTGGAGAGCGGAGGCAGCGGCGGCGTGGTCTGGCGGATCCGCGCCTCCAATACCAAACTGGTTTGCGCGGTGGGCAGCCGTAACGGCACGGAGGAAACCAAGCTGCTGGTGCTGGACTTCGACGTGGACATGAAGTGAAGGGGGTGAACTTAAAGGGGACTCGTTTGGAAAACGGGGAGGGTGTGGGGGGGAGAGCAACCTGCCGCGCCAGGACCGATCGCTCACTTCATGGCACCTCCCCGTTAAGTTGCCGCCAACATTTCTCCCCGTCGTGCCACGGACCGCGACTGCCGCCACAGTTCCGTTCACCTTCCGAAGTGCAGACGCTCACAGCATTCTGGGAAGGAAACTGACAAGAAGGACTTGGGAAGACAGGATTGTCCCTTTTCCTTCCACTCAAGGCGACCTTGCACAGAGACTTGTTCGCTCAAGCCTGACTGAAATTCACATCCATATGTACAAACATTTTTTTGTTTTTTTGAACAAAACAGTCAACACTGTATACATGAGACCCCTAATGCATCGACACGGACACGGAGTGATAAATAGTGTATACAAATGACACTTTAATGGAGACAGATCAGAGCTTTGTACTGCAGGAGTGATTCAAGAGAGAGAAAGGAAGCCAATTTTGTCGGTCCTCATCAACCTCAGCACACGCCAAATATCCCTTTCTTCCTCATGCGTTGAATTTTTCTTTTGTATCCGTTTTTCTTTGCTTTGTTCCCCACAACTTGTCTTTTGGTTTTCGCGTCAACAGCTGTGAATTAAAGTTTTGTGCTTTCTTTTCAAGTTCAGCATTTTTTTGTTTCACGATCCTGCCTCTGTTGCAAACAACAGGTTTCAGTATTAAGCTAAACCCACTCTGCTGTTTCACACGTTTATGGGATTTTATTTTGTAATTTTTTTCTTTTTCTTTTTGTAATTTAGTGCTCCATAAGCAGTGCCTCTCTGGATCAGAGATGACCTGCATTCGTTATGTTTTTCAACCAGTCTGGTCTCATTAGCTCATCAGTGCTGGTGCTCTGTGGGAAATGTTTTCCCATAAGCTCCTGGGAATATGCCCCCCCCCCCCTCCAGTACTGTCCATCCCAGTGACCAAACTGGATTCTATGCTGCTAGACTCACAGAAAAACAAGGTGGAACTTTAACTGGCTGTGACGTTTTAGTCCCAGACGAAATTCTAAACAAAAGTTACTTGTGGAGTTTGAACTTGTAAAACGACTCAAACAAACGTACCAACAAAAGCAAAATATCGACAAAACCGCTTCTCTTTTTTTGCCACTGAAACTTGAGCCAAATGTGCCTCTACGAGGTGTAGAGGAGGGAGAATGTCTGACAAAGAGACGGGTTTGTCTGCTGAGATGAAACGCCGGACGAGTAGAAACTATTTTGCGTGTGTTTGCGAGCATGACTGGGTGTGTGTGCGGGTGTGTGTTTGAGCAAATTGTTCACACATTCCTTGGGACAAAAGCTGTTGTCATCCTGTTCTGTGTGGAAATGTATGCTTCGACTAAAAAGAATCCCATTCTTGTTTTTAATTAGTTGAAAACGAGATTGTTGGAACCGGCGTTAAGTTACCGAAGAATAAAGGTGGTCTTAGTGTACAGAAATGGACATCTGATTACAAGCGCTAGAGCTAACCTGGTTCCGTTGTTGACGCTCTCATGGGTTTTTTTGGTTTGTTTTTTTGAATGGTAAAGCAGCTTCATAGATAAACAGGGCGTAACCGCATCCGTAGCCAAACGATTCGTCTCATCCTCCAAGTCACACAACTCAAGCTGAACTGTGAAAGTGGTTTAACACTGTATATTAAAGGAAAAACAATCTTGTTCTTTCACCTGTTTTTTTTTTTTCTTTCTTCCCGTTTAATTTATAATCTGGTTTGAGAAATCAGATGTTGGAGCTGTTTTATTTTTTCAGTTTATGTAAACTGCCTGGCATAACAGACAGATAAAAAAAGAAACCTTAAAGGGATTGTGTATTTGTTTGATTCATTTAGAATTTTTATTTTCTTATAACTTAAGTGCAATAAAATGTGGGTTTTTCTTTGTTCATTTCAACGATTTTGGTTGTCTGTGTTTCTCAGTGTGTGAAAGTGTCTCATGTGTCCAATAAAGCTTCTATAGTTTGTTCTGCTTAAGAAAAAGGCAATCCATCCATGGGGCGTATTGGTTAATGTGATATTCATTTAACAAGGCAGAATAGCTTCTCAAGTCTTCTAGACCGGGTGACATCTCTTCTCCTTCTGGTACATCTCATTCTCTCATTAAAGCCTCAGATGCTTGAGCTACACCGCAGTGTGTCCTGCAGAACAGCTGATGAAAGGTAGATCAGTAATCCTTCGAAACTAGCAAGTGTATGTTCGTCACTCTTTACAGTATGAAATACCGAGTACCTCACGGCATCAAGAGAATGTAAGTATGAGCTCTTAGACGTAAGCTAGCGTTGTCAGTTGAGGGACGATGTGTTTCTCTCGATCTATTGCAGAATCATCCTGCTTAAAGCTGAAGGATGTTCATAGCCTGTTGCCTAGCAATGGTTCAGCTCTGCTTATTTACCAGTGTTTGAATACTCGTTACTATAAGTCAATAACGAGTACTGGAAGAAAAGTCATACTGTAGCTAGTATATTATGCTCTCTGCACTTTAAAAAAAATAAAAATAATATTTACCAGTGTTTGAATACTCGTTACTATAAGTCAATAACGAGTACTGGAAGAAAAGAAAAGTATTATGCTCTCTGCACTTCAAAAAAAAAAAACTAAAAAACATTCACAGTAAAAATACTGTGGGGAGATTTCTGGTGTTACGTGCAATTATATAGACCAATTTGGAGTAGACGTCACAGTTATGTCACTTGCAGCTGCGCATGCATTGTGGTGGCAGAAAAACACTGGGAATAAGTGGAGGGAAACGGGTAAAATCCATGGAATAAGAAAAAAATGTGTCGTGTCTTTGGATGTCAGAATCAGAATGCTAATAATTCGTCAAAGAAAAAAAAAAACTAAAAAACATTCACAGAAAAAATACTGTGGGGAGATTTCTGGTGTTACGTGCAATTATATAGACCAATTTGGAGTAGACGTCACAGTTATGTCACTTGCAGCTGCGCATGCATTGTGGTGGCAGAAAAACACTGGGAACATGTGGAGGGAAATGGGTAAAATCCATGGAATAAGAAAAAAATGTGTTGTTGTGCCTTTGGATGTCAGAATCAGAATGCAAATAATTTTTATAAAATACTGTCGTCAAAGACGCCATTTGAAGCTAAACGCAGATGTTTAAACGCACAGACTATGGATGAAATCTGCCATGATTACTCTACTTTTAAAGCATACATTTGATTTAAATAATAGGTCTATATAATATTCATATAGGGGACATATTGTATTAGCCCTACTGCTGAAATACACACATGAAATACTATTTAAACCTATAACATTTCCCTATTTTATTTCACAATTCTGACTTTTTTTCTTACTAATACAAGTTTATATCTCCTAATTCGGACTTTATAACTTTATTCAAGTCAACAATTCTGAGGGAAAAAAGCCGGAAGTGTGGGATCATAAACTAAAACGAAAGAATGACGAGTTGATTTTTCTTACCAGAATTGTGAGATGTAATCTCAGAATTGCAAGAAAAAAAGTCACAACTTTGAAATATAAACTCAAAATTACATTTTTTGTTATTTTATTCCATGGCTTGAATAGACTGCTACGTTAAACCTGTAATTTTCTGCCACCAGATAGGCTCCGCCCACAAAAACGTCATCACTGTTTGCAAACACTAAAATTGGTCTGTAGAACTATATATTTCATTATGATAGAACTACTCAACTACTGCTACTTGAATAAAATCCCCTAAATATTTATACTGATAAATATCTTTGGTCTCATTAATCTATTATTTGTTCCAGACCAAATAGTTTTGGCTGAGAGCAAAATCTCATCACGTTATAATTTATATAACTTAAATGCTGGACAGACTAATGTTTTATTGTGAATATGAGATTGAGCTGAAGAATGAATGCTGTATCAGATGCAGGTAATGCACTCTCAGTCCATCTCTCTCATCATACTCTACATATTATACAGGGAGCTTTTGATACAGTGATACAATACGCTTTTAATGAAGAACCTCGACGTTCCTTCGTTACTAAAGTGACGTTTTCGAATTGGTAACAGATCTTGAGCTCAGCTGTTAAACTCAAACTGAGATTTGAATCTGTGGCGGAAGGAAGTAGTTCCACACAAAAGATGGTTTTTAAAGACACTCCGGTGTTGTTTCTTATGTATTTTCACACTCGTATCGTCGAACTGTTGTATAAAAGCAATATCACTCGTAGATGTGCTTAATGGCTGTAAATCAGCACAGATATGATTACCTACGGCCGAACCACAGCCGTGCCAATGTACAGCCATATCTCACGGCTATGAGTGTGATATTGCTCATATATATTTAGGTAACACTTTAGGGAGCAATTCTCACGATTAACTAGTTGCTTATTAGCATGCATATTACTAGCATACTGGCTGTTTATCAGTACTAATAAAGCACTTATTAAAGCCTTATTGTGCATGATCATATTTTAGATCCCTTAATCCTAAACCTATCAACTACCTTACTAACTATTAACAAGCAGCAAATTAGGAGTTTATTGAGGCAACATTCACAGTTACTTAACAGTGAGAGCTTGTCCCTGAACTAAAGTGTGACCATATACAGTATATATGTGTGTAATATAATGTGCATTTCCATCATAAGTTTGGTCTTAAATGTCATATAAGGTGGTATATTTAACTTGTTTATATCTGTGGACACCCTGGAATATTTTTTATACTAAAGTTTAGGAAAAGAAAAAGAAAAATGCCTAAGGCATTAGTTATTTTTTTATGAAACAGATCATGTTTATATACATTAAACATAATTTAATTTACAAAAAAACAAAAAGTAAAGTATTTTTAAGTAACATTTGAATACAGGTTTATTGTTTGCTAGTCAAACTACATTTCAAACATAATGGAATAGAAAGATTAAAGCCCATTGCATGAGATTCAGTGGAATCCTTGACTTTATTGCATTTCATCTTGCACAAACCATTTCTGACTTTTAAGAGGATGAATGAATAAATTCCATGAACTGTAAGTGAAATGCTGTCACATAAGACAAAATGGATGGTTCATTTATTTAAGGGGTTACGTAAGCTTGATGTCAGGAAAATGACTAATATACATATAAATATGCTTTTAATATACAGACCAATTCCCTGCATCTACATCTATACGATGCAGCAATATTTATGCATCATGTTTTTATAAAGGCCTTTAGACATCTCTGTCAACTCTGGTTATATGGTTCTTTATTCGTTTCTCAGAAATGAAGACTAACACGTTAAAAATCAAACTGAGCCCTTGAGAGAAGAACTGTTGAGAGGAATTCTAATTCTTGACCATCAACTCAGTTTTGGCATCTTAAAGACTATTTGGAAATCAGACTTAAAGATTGCCTCGTTTGACAGAGCGACTAATCGCAGTGGACTTTCATGGGATCGGATGTCAGTTGCTGTTATACGGTTCATCTTTAACACATCTATCGCTTGACTCACTAATCTTATTTAGACGCTGGCAAGTCATTTTCAGTTTTACTTCATGTGAATATTAGAAACTGTATCCATTTTCACTGAGAAAAGTTTTGAGAAATCTCATTCGTTCAGTAACGTTTGATCTTTTTCATATTCGGGCTGTATTCAGAAGTTCACAGAGCCCTGTCTGTTACTCAAACACAATGTGAAAGAGAACAAATAAGAGTGAGAGAGAGAGAGAGAGTATCATTAGCGTGATAAGAAGAAAGGGAGGCCTATATTGAAGAGATGAGGAATTTATAAAAGTGGAAAGGGGGGATAAAGGATCACCCGGGTTCCTTTATTCCTGTAATCCTGCCTCGCAGCACGAGCGGCGCTCCATGGGAAAATCCTGTCTGTACAGTCTGATACTACCGGCTCCACAATAGATAACTGATCTACAATCATATTCACCGCTGTGATAATCTTAGGGGTGTAAAAAACTAAACAAGGCAATCTTACCCAGGAGTGAAACCCAGTCAGAGTCATACATTTTGCTCAAGGAAGGAAAACGTTTGATTTGTGCGACACAAAGTCACTTTGTATAATTAGAAGCAAATAGCTGTTGTCCATAAATGTTGATGTAGCTGTTACAATAAAGGTTTAATTTAGAAGAATGCCAGTGAATATGCACACTAGGTCTTAGAGAGTGCATTTTAAACTGTTGGAAACTGGGAAGATCCTGCATGGTTTTGAATGTTTTGCTGTATAATATTCCACAGGCAGAGCGTTTGAGGATGCTGTGTTACTGCATCACGCCTCATTTACTTGCTAGATTGTTGAATCTAGAGATTTACCTCTTGATTGTTCTTGATGATCCTCTTGGGTAGGGGTGTGTTTGTTTTGTGATTTCAGATCTCACCAGCGTTTTCCAGAAATCACTCACTGCACCTTTCAGTGTCACATGATCTTCAGAAATCATTCTAAAATGCTGCTCTGCTGCTCAAGAAACATGTCTGATTATTAGCAGTGTTAAAAACATGGTTGTGCTTCTTTTTTTTGCTAGATTGTTGAATCTAGAGATTTACCTCTTGATTGTTCTTGATGATCCTCTTGGGTAGGGGTGTGTTTGTTTTGTGATTTCAGATCTCACCAGCGTTTTCCAGAAATCACTCACTGCACCTTTCAGTGTCACATGATCTTCAGAAATCATTCTAATATGCTGCTTTGCTGCTCAAGAAACATTTCTGATTATTAGCAGTGTTAAAAACATGGTTGTGCTTCTTTTTTGTTTGTGGAAACCATTATACTTTTTTTTTTTTAGGATTATCTGGTGAATAGAAAGTTGAAAAGAACAATTTTTTAAAAAAT